AGCTCGGGAATTGTCTTATCCATCACTTGCATATTATAGTTCATCACGAAGCTCTTCTAGCTTGGTGGCAGTGATTGAAGAAGTCTGTCAATGACACTATCATCAGGAAGATTAACTCCCAGCTGAGTCAAGTGGTTGTGGTACCTAGACATTCTGAGTATATGTTCACTGACAGAACTATTCTCCTCCATTTTACAGTTGTAGAACTTATTGGAGACTTCATATCTCTCAATTCGGGCATTTGTTGAAATATGAACTTCAACTCTTGGAACATCTCATATGCTCCATGATGTTCAAAATGTCGTTGAAGTCCCAGTTCTAAGCCGTAAAGCATGGCACACTGAACTATCGAGTAGTCATCAGCTTTGCTCTGCCAGACGTTCATAACATCTGGTGTTTCTCCTGCAGCAGGTTTGTCACGTAGCGGTGCTTCCAAAATGCAATTCTTCTGTGCAGCAATGAGGATAATCCTCAAGTTACAGACCCAGTCCGTGTAATTGCTACCATCATCTTTCAACTTTGCTTTCTCTAGGAGCGCATTAAATTCAATAGAACAACAGCACAGGACATCTATCTACAACAACATAGACATGCAAAACTCTATCGTGTACTAAGTTCATGAAAAATTAAAGTTCAATTAATCAAATTACTAAAGAACTCCCACTTAGATAGACATCCCTCTTAATCATCTAAGTGATCACGTGATCCAAATCAACTAAACCATGTACGATCATCACGTGAGATGGAGTAGTTTTCAATGGTGAACATCACTATGTTGATCATATCTACTATATGATTCACGCTCGACCTTTCGGTCTCGGTGTTTCGAGGCCATATCTGCATATGCTAGGCTTGTCAAGTTTAACCCGAGTATTCCGCATGTGCAAAACTGGCTTGCACCCATTGTATGTGAACGTAGAGCTTATCACACCCGATCATCACGTGGTGTCTCGGCACGACGAACTGTAGCAACGGTGCATACTCAGGGAGAACACTTATACCTTGAAATTTAGTGAGAGATCATCTTATAATGCTACCACCGAACTAAGCAAACTAAGATGCATAAAGGATAAACATCACATGCAATCAATATAAGTGATATGATATGGCCATCATCTTCTTGTGCCTTTGATCTCCATCTCCAAAGCACTGTCATGATCACCATCATCACCGGCTTGACACCTTGATCTCCATCGAAGCATCGTTGTCGCCTCGCCAACTATTGCTTCTACGAATATTGCTACCGCTTAGTGAGACAGTAAAGCAATTACATGGCGATTGCATTTCATACAATAAAGCGACAACCATATGGCTCCTGCCAGTTGCCGATAACTCTATTACAAAACATGATCATCTCATACAATAAAATTTAGCATCATGTCTTGACCATATCACATCACAACATGCCCTGCAAAAACAAGTTAGATGTCCTCTACTTTGTTGTTGCAAGTTTTACGTGGCTGCTACGGGCTGAGCAAGAACTGTTCTTACCTACACATAAAAAACCACACGGGGTATAGTGATTGCTTTTTGATCTTTAGAAAGAAATACCTCGGTGAAGTTGCTTACACATTGAGCATCAAGATCTATAGAGATAGATCAAGCGTATTTCTTTGAAAAACTCCTTTCAAACACTCCTTTATGCTTTCTAGAAAATTCTACATCATTTCCGATCAACAATATGTCACTCACATATACATATCAGAAAGGTTGTAGTGCTCCCACTCACTTTCTTGTAAATACGGGCTTTACCGCAAGTCTGTATAAAACTATATGCTTCAATCAACTCATCAAAGGGTATATTCTAACTCCGAGATGCTTGCACCAGTCCATAGATGGATTGATGGAGCTTGCACATTTTGTTAGCACCTTTAGGATTGTCAAAACCTTCTGGTTGCATCATATACAACTCTTCTTTAAGAAATCAATTAAGGAATGCAGTTTTGACATCCATTTGCCAAATTTCATAAAATGTGGCAATTTCTAACATGATTCAGACAGACTTTAAGCATCGATACGAGTGAGAAAATCTCATCATAGTCAACATCTTGAATTTGTCAAAAACCCTTTTCGACAAGTCGAGCTTTGTAGATAGTAACACTACTATCATCGTCCATCTTCCTCTTGAAGATCCATTTATTCTCAATGGCTTGCTGATCATCGGGCAAGTCCATCAAAGTCCACACTTTGTTCTCATACATGGATTCTATCTCAGATTTCATGGCCTCAAGCCATCTGTCGGAATCTGGGCTCATCATCGCTTCCTCATAGTTCGTAGGTTCATCATGGTCTAGTAACATAACTTCTAGAACAGGATTACAGTACCACTCAGGTGCGGATCGTACTCTGGTTGACCTACGAGGTTCGGTAGTTGAAGGAAATATGCCCTAGAGGCAATAATAAAGTTGTTATTTATATTTCCTTATATCATGATAAATGTTTATTATTCATGCTAGAATTGTATTAACCGGAAACTTAGTACATGTGTGAATACATAGACAAACAGAGTGTCACTAGTATGCCTCTACCTCACTAGCTCGTTGATCAAAGATGGTTAAGTTTCCTAGGCATTGACAAAGAGTTGTCATTTGATAAATGGGATCACATCATTAGAGAATGATGTGATTGACTTGACCCATCCGTTAGCTTAGCACTTTGATCATTTAGTTTAATGCTATTGCTTTCTCCATAACTTATACATGTTCCTATGATTATGAGATTATGCAACTCCCGAATACCGGAGGAACACTTAGTGTGCTATCAAACGTCACAATGTAACTGGGTGACTATAAAGATGCTCTACAGGTGTCTCCAATGGTGTTTGTTGAGTTGGCATAGATCGAGATTAGGATTTGTCACTTCGTGTATCGGAGAGGTATCTGTTGGCCCTCTTAGTAATGCACATCACTATAAGCCTTGCAAGCAATGTGACTAATGAGTTAGTTACGGGATGTTGCATTACGGAACGAGTAAATAGACTTGACGGTAACGAGATTGAATTAGGTATTGAGATACCGACGATCGAATCTCGGCCAAGTAACATACCGATGACAAAGGGAACAACGTATGTTGTTATGCGGTTTGACCAATAAATATCTTCATAGAATATGAAGGAACCAATATGAGCATCCAGGTTCCGCTATTGGTTATTGACTGGAGATGAGTCTCGGTTATGTCTACATAGTTCTCGAACCCGTAGGGTCTGCACGCTTAACGTTCGGTGACAATCGGTATTATGAGTTTATGTGTTTTGATGTACCGAAGATAGTTGGAGTCCCGGATATGATCACGGACGTGACGAGGAGTCTTGGAATGGTCGAGACATAATGATCGATATATTGGAAGCCTATGTTTGGACATCCGAATGGTTCCGGGTGAGTTCGGGCATTTACTGGAGTATCGGGGGGTTACCGGAACCCCCCGGGGAGTATATGGGCCTTAGTGGAATAGAGGAGAGGAAGGCCAAGGAGGAAGGCACCCCCCCCCCTAGCCCAATCCCAATTGGGTGGGGGGCCGGGCCCCCCTTCCTTCTTCTCTCTCCCCCTTCCTTCTCTCCTACTCCTACTAGGGAAAGGGGGGAATCCTACTCCCGGTGGGAGTAGGACAACCCTAGGGCGCGCCATAGAGAGGGTCGGCCCTCCCCTCCTCTACTCCTTTATATACGGGGGAAGGGGGCACCCCATAGACACACAAGTTGATCTCTTAGCCGTGTGCGGTGCCCCCCTCCACAGATCTCCACCTCGGTCATATCGTTGTAGTGCTTAGGCGAAGCCCTGCGTTAGTAAATTCATCATCACCATCATCACGCCGTCGTGCTGACGAAGCTCTCCCCCGACACTCAGCTGGATTTAGAGTTTATGGGATGTCACCGAGCTGAACGTGTGCAGATTGCGGAGGTGCCGTACCTTCGGTGCTAGGATTGGTCGGATCGTGAAGACGTACGACTACATCAACCGTGTTGTCATAACGATTCCCCTTATGGTCTACGAGGGTACGTAGACAACACTCTCCCCTCGTGTTGCTATCCACCACCTAGATGGATCTTGTGTGTGCGTAGGAAATTTTTTAAAATTGCTGTGTTCCCCAACAGAAAAGGGGGGTTGAATCCTACTTGGAGTAGGACTCCCATCCTTAGGCACGCCACCCTTGGCCGTCCTCCTCCTCCCTCCCTCCTTTATATACGTGGGGAGGGGGGCACCCTACAACACACAAGTTAATCTTTAGCCGTGTGCGGTGCCCCTCTCCACAGTTTTCCACCTCGGTCATATTGTCGTAGTGCTTAGGCAAAGCCCTTCGTCGATAACTTCATCATCACCGTCACCACGCTGTCGCGCTGACGAAACTCTCCCTCGGCCTCAACTAGATCAAGAGTTCGAGGGACGTCACCGAGCTGAACGTGTGCAGATCGCGGAGGTGCTGTGCGTTCGGTATTTGGATCGGTTGGATCGCGAAGACGTTCGACTACATCAACCGCGTTACTAAACGCTTCCGCTTTCGGTCTAAGAGGATACGTGGATACACTCTCCTCGCTCGTTGCTATACTTCTCCTAAATAGATCTTGTATGACCATAGACAAAAATTTAAAATACTATGTTCCCCAACAGGGATATGTGCGAGTTATTCAACTTACAAAATTTTCAAGTCAGACACATCAACTGTCTTACCTCAATCAACGTTGGGCGCGTCATAAAGAAATCATCAGAGGTGGAAGGAGGGCTGGTCCTCACATGTTAGCTAGCAACCTAGGTTTAGATAATTAGTCTGTTGCCAACGTCAATTGAGTCCAAAACTATTAGAAATGCATCACTCAATGTAAATTGCTCACCAGACAAGCAAGTTGGATGGTATGTACAAAGAAATTCTCTTAGTCTTGACATGATAGCCGAAACCATTCTTTTTAAAGGAGGACATCCCGGTCTCTGCATCGGAAAAATGCATGCCTAATTCAGCAACTCAAAGCCACAATCGGCTGGACGAAAGGACATTAAGGACCTATCCTATTATACGACCGTCATCCAAACCGGTTGAAGATAACCCGTGCGACCATCTCCCATCGGTTGCACCCAGTAGCCAAATGCTCCCTGGAGCCCGTAGGAATGAGTAGCAACCACGTACGGATTTATGCCATAGCTTTGAAAATAACCTGCAAGAAGTTAATCATATATAGTTTATTAAAAATTATACCGTTCCTGCAGTTCCATATATCCCGAAGAAGTGCGCATATTCCAATCCGAATACTTAACGCAATCTCAGGATTCACTTCATTTAGCCATATCCCAAACAACGCGTCAATGCTAACTGAAGAGATAATATTAAAAGCTATATGTATGGATCTCCAAAGTAACTTCGCGAGAGGGCAATCAATAAATAAGTGTTAAATTGTTTCGTCATGAACACAAAAGCAATATCGTGAACTACCTACCCATCGTCGCTTTAATAAGTTATCTTTGGTAAGGATCACTTGCCTGTGCACAAACCATATAAAATTTTGATTCGCAAGGGAACCTTAACTTTTCAAAACCATATGTAATATAATCCTGTTTAGGTGACTAAATTTTTTTTTGGTTGGTGATTGCTTAAACTACTACACATATAAATCTGATGTTGTTGGCTCAGTCATAATGGTCACTGAATTTCATTTGACTCCTCGTATGCGCTTAAGAGAGAGGAGGAATGCCTTCACTTGCATTCCTTTGCACATTTTTTAGAGAAAAGATTTACTTTTATTTTTTTAGAAAAGGAGGATGTACCCCCGGCTTTTGCATTTGGACGATGCATACGGCCATATTATTAATTATTCACAAAGACCATAAAAAGTGATACATCAATAAGTCTGAAGCCATCTCTTGGCAACACCGTTGCTACTCATATCCCTTTGATGAAGGCATGCCGAATGTCCGGACCTAATATCAAACAGACATCGCACTAAAGCCTAACATCTAAAGCCGGGTGTCCCATCCAAGACACTACCTGGATTGGGTCCCACGCCGATCTGGCACACTCCCAATGAGCACCGCACGCTGCAAGGGCCGTCACCTCCATCATCCCTCGGTCCATCCTCAGAGCAGAACTGAAGCACCAACCTTTCCAGGCCTCTCTGCCATCAACGCCACCATGACGCCAGACAGTTTCCTCCTCCTGTGCGAGTCCATCTCCGCGCATCAGACGTCGAATCTCCACAGCATCACGCCGCCGAGATCCGCCACCATTGATGTGTAAGATGAAGCACCGCTCCACCAAAGACATCGTCCTCTGGTCCCTCGAGCCCGTGTGCACCTCCAAGAATGACACCCCCAAGGGGGAAACGACACCAGAGAGCCGCCGTCATCCAATCTACTGATCTAGGATTTTCCCCGGAGGTAGCAGAGAGTGGCCTTGAACTTTTCCTCGGCGATGCCTTCGGGAAGGGAACGACGCGGACAGCCTCGCCATCGTCGGCCTTGGCAATAGCCAATAGCAGGTTTTCACCCAGATCTGGTCGAAGACCTTCATCCCTCGTGCACGAGCCGCCGCCATCCTTGCCGGGATCTGAATGATCCAGGCTGCCGCTGCCAGATCTCAGCAAGGAGAAGTCCCCCCACCGAGACCCGTCGGCCGAGCAGGGGAGGCCGAGACCGCGCCCGCAGGACCAGATCCACGATGGATCCATGCCCGCGCCGCCGCCCCGAAGCCAACCCCTCGCGCAGCCGCCACTGCCTGGCCACCCGCTCGCGCCGCCGTCTGGCCGGCACGCTGCACGATGCGCCCTCGCCGCATCAGCCAAGACTCTGCCGCGCCGCCGCATCTCGCGCTACAGCCGCATGCCGGGAGGAGAAGAAGGGCCCCGCCACCGGCGACGCGCACCGGGCTTTGCCCGGCGGCGCCTTATGGCGGCGGCGAGGGGAGGGGATGGTGTAGGAGGCGGGCGCGGGGTAGGGGCTAGGGTTCCCCCGCCGCCGCCAGCGAGAGCGACGCGAGGAACGAGGGGAGGGACGATAGTACTTCTTGGCCGAGAAAATGTACAATATTGTTTATGCCCGACTTAATGAATAAAGCCAGGTTAAACAGTACACATGTTTAAACCATTACAGAGGTGCATGCCAATGACCACCGGTCAAGGGGAGCTAGATAAAGGTCTAGCAGGTTGCATGTATGCCAGGTAGGGATGCTTCTTCTTTCTTTCAAACCATCAAGGCAAATATTTTGAGGTTCAAAAAAGAAAGGCACGACCCATACAAACCACACAGACCCAAAAGCTTAAACGACCCAAGGATCACTAATCCAAAAATCAGCAATCCACGACTCGAAGACGACCAAACCCACTATAGACGAGAACAAAAGTACAACGTCCATTTGGAAATAAGTGACGATGTTTTAGTTCAAACGGAGGGAGTACATGACAAGACATAAAAGCGAGTTCCACCTGCTGCAAGAGCCAGCAGTTAGCTATATCATGACCCAAAACTACTACGACCGCAGCGACGGAAGCACGACACCACGGATGAGCAGGGCGATCAAATCAGGCTCGGTAACAACTAACAACATACAAAATCAGCGCAAGATAAAACGAAGATGACGACATGGAACCTTCAAGATGCCTGCAGCAGCTCCTTGATCTCATATCCATGCAGCTGAAACACAAAACACAAAGAACTTCAATTAGTTTTAAGCACTTCTATATTTTCTTCCACAAAAGGGAGGAGCTCTGTCAATCAGTATAAGATGAAAACACTTATATTATGTAGAAAAAAAAGGATCAGGGACCAGCCTGAGGGGGGAAATGAAAACGAGCAACGCCAAAAAGCACCCTAAGCAACAGAGCATAGTGAACCACATTGCATACAGGTAGGCAAATGGCTATCACTTGTACAACAAAATGGTGACATAAAGATAATATATACCCGGGAAAGGTTAGTAACAATGTTACTCCAGAATTCCAAACAGCATGAACTGCGATAGGAGTAAGAAGATTCCGAGTTTGAGAATATGAGAATCCCAGTGCCACACCTGTGCTGTGCACATTCAAATTCAACACATGGAAAAGACAGTCATCTCCACACTGTCAAATCATGTACCACAACAACTCTGCATATCAACATATGACCTCACGATTGTTTGTGATTTGTTCGATTCTAGGCAACACATAACTAGTACTCACAGCTGAGACCTTGTGATAGTGGGTTTCAGCATACTGCAGTTTTTGTGCAGTTTCCTGCTAAGTTACTATTAATGTAGTCACCTACCAAGCACAAAAAGTTGGGGAAACTCTTCTGGTGTAAACATGAGCGAAGGCAAACACCACAGCTGTGATCAGAACAGATACTGGCGTAGGAAACCTATATAAGAAATTGCAGATGCACCAATCTACAGTTTTACATTTCTTGGTAAGCACAGGAAATCCCTTAAAAAGAAGCATTAATAAGTTTCTGGACCAGTAAAAAGGTATGCATATTTATCACATAGTCAAGGATACAATTAGAAATCCTCTAAACACAGTTTGATCCAAAATTAGTTCGAGAACCCCAATGATGATACTTCGCTGCATGCTGATGGACTTCTTTGCCTCATCAAACAAGACATCCTCATGCCAACGATGTGTCTATACACTGCATTTCTGACTGCCAGAACGAACCACCTCCTGAACCCGACTAGTTTTATGTCTCGTTGCGTTCCTCTGGGCGATTCCTTATCCTGAATTTATAACACTAACAATATGTATTTCTATATCTTCTTAATTGTAGGGAGATCACTGCCAAAAGTGCCAGTTCCTCAAAAACAAAACTTTGTATTTTATGACTGAAGACATGACACATGTCCCAAGCTAAACTAGGGGGGCGAATGAACACCTTGCTAGTTCCTCGAGTCATAGGCTACTCAGCCCAGATTTCCAACATCGTTGATGGGAGATGCAGTGAAGTGAAGAACAATGGCAAAGGAGAAGTCCCCGATGAAAATGTTGTATATGAGCAGTTCCCCATGGCTCTCAATCCCACCCGTTGCAATTTAACTCACATCCAAAGGCCAAGACGGAACCATGTCAATCAACTTGCTTTGCCTATTTTCTTTTCTCTCTTCCATTTTGCAACAACTATAGGTTGTAGTATCATGTTTTCTCTATGCTACATTGTCCATCCTTTATAACATAGGTTGACTGGAAGCAGATGCACGTCGCTTTCTTGTTTCTCTTTTTTTTTTCTAAAAAAATGAATACTAGTAATTACCTTTCGTGGCCATGAGCAGGAATCATGTGGTACTTATCTAGGACCACTTCTATTTTCTCTTATACAATTTTGGTGCTTGCCTTTATGAAGCTTCAGTACCAGACAATATGGTTGCCACGGTCTTATATACAGCTTATAGGATTTTAGTTTATCTCATCACTTCCATTGTAAAATGGAACATTACTCTATAGGAAGCTTATTCAAAACATAAATTGATGGTTCATTACAGATGTGTACAAAATCCAAAACACTTCTCTTTCCTTACAAAATCAAATCAGTTTGCAAAAAAGAAAATTAATATTGCCCTTAACTGGCTTGGTTCACTGATATAGATCTTAGTTTGGAATTGCATTAGTTAAAAAGGTACCTACATTCTAACTTGAAGGCCCAGTTTGCATTAGCTATTAATTCACATCACAATTTGTCTTTTTTATTTCAAGATATGTATTTTGAATTTGGATCAATTTATACCATGTTAGATATGTTTTATACTTACATCCTCACAAAAACTCGATGATTTCTTTACGATTCTCAAGTTACGGAGATCGGATGCACTGGTAGCACCCGATACCTTCCCAGAGGACATATGCTCCTCTGTGTCTGTTGCCTTTGCTCAATAAGCCATTCATAAGATTTCCAGTTTATCTGTTGCTACAGTTAAATAAAATTATACATGACAGATACAAAATTTAGAGCCTTTATCTTTTTCTAAACATATGCTTTCTTGGACTTGCACTGTAGCCTACTAGCCTGCCATAAATTATATGCGATTGTCGCAGCATTAGTTATGTATTTGCCTTGCTTTCAAATGAGTGAAAATTAACTTGCTTTGCATAAAGTATATGTACATACCATCATATCACATTGGAATTTAACTTTGACATCATAAGAGTCAAATATCAAACCGCAGTTTGAAAAACAAAAGGAAACTACCAGATCAGATGACACGTCAACTATGAATTGTTAGCAGGGGATACTTCCAAGAGTTCATGTATTTTACAGTAACGTACAAAATCGGTGCAAGATAAGACTATGGTGACCAAATGAAACCTTCAAGATGCCTGCAGCAGCTCCTTGATATCATATCCCTGCAACTGAAACACAATACACAAAGAACTTCAATTAGTTTTAAGTACTTCTATGTTTTTTCTTCCACAAAAGGCAGGAGCTCTGGCAATCAGTATAAGATGACAATATTTATGTACAACAAAGGATCGAGGATGAGCATGAGATGGGAAGTGAAAACAAGCGACGCCAAAAAACACCCTAAGTGACAGCAGATTGATCAAGGACCAGGGTGTCGGGGGAGTGAAAACAAGCGAAGCCAGGAAACACCCTAAGCCACGGCAACCACATTGCATATGGATAAAAAGGACAAATGGGTATTAATTGTACAACAGATGATGACAAAAAGATAATATATACCTGAAGAACGGTTAGTGACAATACTACTCAAACTGACGGAATATTACAGATCAATATCACTGAACTGAATAACATATGGATTTTGAAGCCGAGAGAGGAATGGAGGAAACCAACTTTAGGAATATTGCTGATCAACGTTGATGCTACTTATGATAGGAATTCAGGCTATGGAAGAACAGGGGTGGTGATTAGAGATTGTCATGGAAACTATAGTGCAAGTTCTCACAGATATCTTATGAATGTAGAACACGCAGCAACGGCAGAAGCATATGCATTCAGAGGGATTGCTGCTAGCGCAGCATATTGGTATAAATGTTTTTGCGGTCCAAATGGACGGCATGCAAGTGGTTGAAACAATGCAAGATGGTGGCTTATTGGCAACAGCATCATCAGCGATATATGGAGATTGCAACAACATCTTTGACAGGTTTTGATAGGGTTCTTGTAGAATATCATAATCGGGAGGCCATTGTCGTAGCGCACAAGCTAGCAAGAAATGCTTTATCCTTGAATTGCTTGTGAACAATGTAACTACTTTTTCAAATCAATAAAGCTAGCCGAATGACATTTCCTAAAAAAAAAGGGTGCATGGGGAGTGAAAACAAACGACTCCAAAGAAACACCCTAAGCCACACTGTGTGCAATCACACTGCATACGGATAAAAGAAGGACAAATGGCCATCAGTTGTACAACAAAACGGTGACATAAAGATAATATATACCTGAAGAAAGGTTAGTAACAATATTACTCCGGAATTCCAAGCAGCATGAATTGTGATAGGAGTAAGAAGATTCCGAGTTTGAGAATATGAGAATCCCAGTGCCACACCTGTGCACATTCAACAGATGGAAAAGATAGTCATGTCCATGCTGTCAAATCATGTAACACAGGTTACACAACATATCAACATATGGCCTCACAATTGTTTGTGATTTGTTCGATTCTAGGCAACACCGAACTAGTAACCATGCTGAGGGCTTGTGATAGGGGGGTTTCAGCATAATGCAGTTTTTGTGCAGTATCCTGCCAAGTTACTGATAATGTAGTCACTTACCAAGCACAAAAAGTTGGGGAAACTCTCCTGGTGTAAGATGAGCAAAGGCAAACACCACAGCTGTGATCAGAACAGATACTGGCGTAGAAAACCTGTATAAGAAACAAATTATATATCTCTTTAATATGGTACAGAAGTGCAGATGCACCAACGTACAGTTCATCATTTCTAGGATAAGCACAGGGAATCCCTTAAAAAGAAGCGTTAATAAGTTTCTGGACCAAGAAAAAGGTATGCCTATTTACCACATAGTCAAGGATACCATTAGAAATCCTCTAAATACAGTTTCCTCCAAAATTGGTGCAAGAACCCCAGTGATGCCCAGCAGACAGGCAGTGCTACGAATAAAGAAAAAAAAGTCAAGATGTCAGGTAAGTTTGTCTACTCTTCCCTAATATATATCTATATGCAACTTGTGACAGTAAACCCCACAAGTAATACCTGATATTCGACGAGCCTATCAGTGGCAATAGAAGAAGTAGCGAGTCAGTCTGAAAGAAGATGTTCAAGAAGTAAAGAAGTTCAGGTGAGATGTAAGGGTTTTTTCTTGATAAAATGTTAAACGTAAGATAGTAAAATAACATGAGAAATCGTCATCTGAATCTGGGTACATCTAAACCTGAATTTGTATCTCATCTAACAATCATATCTAGGATTTTCAAAAATATATGAAAAGTTCAGTGCAAGTAGATGACCGGTAGGAATACGCACATGTGAATTTTGGTGAAAATGTATGATCACCGCTTACTGTAAATTTCAGATGTGCCCATGTGGGAAAAATGTGGTCTAATACTAACATTTTGGGATTTTACATTTATCTGATATATAACATACTCTAGTCCATACGTTTATTATATCATGGATATCATATAACTATATATACATATCTGAGTCTTCACAACCTTCTTCCAACAGAGGCTGTGATGCAGGAACGTTAGGCATATGACAACTGAACACAAAATTCTCAATGGTGGTATAGTGTGCCAGAGAGCTAAACACTGCAAACTAAGAAATGGCAAAAACATGGCTAATGAAGAAACCATTTAGCAAATTAGAGTAATTTATTCTTGACAAGCTCTACAAATCACTAGAAAGATCCAAGATAACAATAAAAACTATAATAAAATTTGAAATAGTAAGGATGTAGAATATCAATGAAGATTGTTAATTGATTTATAAATTAGTGTTCCATAAGACAACACAAGACGAGCGGCTCAAGCATAAAAAGTCTAGATCAACCTCTCTCTGTGTGGTTTCACCATTCAGAAAGGTCATCACTGCTCCAGTTAAAGAAATGGAAACTAGAGCAAAAAAGAGGCCAATTCCAGCCCACAGGAGCCAGCCGTTTTGCAGCTTAAATGGTTCCTTAAAATCTGGAAATTGACAAATACAGTTGCATTAATAAACTCCCAGGCAACAAAAGAGGAAGAAACAACATCCAGTCATAGTGCAGAACGCAGCACAAGTCTTGGCTACTAGGTAATTTATATGCCATTAACAATTCTATCATTTATCAAGGTGGTCTTCGGAAAGGAAGCAACATGTTCTTATAATGCAACCAAAAGAATTACTGAAAGGGAATAACAAGATCATTCTCTGACCATAACGAAATATGTCATCCGAGAATGGTCGAAAGGTATTGGTGATGCCAAATATAACTCCAATGGCAACTGCTGTCACACTACTGCATTTGTACATAAAAAAGACAAGTAAATCTCATGCTGATATACAGTCTTCTCTATAAGCGGATGATCTATGAGTTCAGTCGCAGTATCCACACATAGGAAAAGGAAATTAAATCCATACAATTGTTCCAGAAAGAGTACCCCGGCCTTCTCATCAATAGTTGCCTCTCCGGCTTGATAGCCTAGATACTCCAAAACTGAGTGCTCAACCTTTCCTGCCAAAAGAGCGCTGTCTAAAGAACATTCAGCAAATTTTCCCAGACATTCAAGAACCCAAATTATTGGCATTTACATGTAATCGACACAATCTGGATTGTGCAAATGAAATTTCTTGTTTCAGAATGCTGTGGCTAGAGTGACAATGCACAGTACCAATCTGGATTGCAATGTACCTTAGTGCACAGGCCACCATGGTGAGGGACACGGTTGGCCACTGCCATGGCACATCCCATCGGCGAAGGGCAGGACGCCACCCATCCACGCTCTGCCCATATCAACACAACATCACCGTAAGAGAACTAGATAGGATAATCACAGTTCACAGCTGAACTCTTACTGGCGAGCGCTAACAAATTTCGCAGCATTTCTTGACGCACTCGCCTCACCGGAAGGAGGCGGAGGAGGAGGCCCGGGAAGCCCGTTTCCTGAATCGTAGGACCCGCGGCACGCTAGCCGGTACTTCCACCTAAGACGGCCAGCCTCCGGCGGCCGGGGCGCGAGCTTGTCCACCGCCGCCGCCGCCACGTGACGGCGACCGGTTCCTGGTGAAGGCAATCGCTGCAGCCTCTGCTTCGAGTTGAGGAAGAGGGATCTTCTGCTGCTGCTACCGTAGGGCAGCGCGAGGAAGCTGAGGAGGAGAGCGGGCGGAGCCGACGGCGAGCCCATCAGAAGGAATGGAAGCCACCCCGCGCGGCGCGAGGATAATGACCAAGATGCTTTTTTTGTCTTTCCGGCGAATAGGATATTTTGGTGTTACTAGCACAAATGCCCGTGCGTTGCAACGGGACAAATTTTATGATGTATTTCAATTTTAAGCAAATATGCATTTCAGAATCCAATCAATTGCACCATTCAAATAAAAGTATATATTTGGATTCCATTGTAAATTTATTAATTATTTTAGCTAATGTTGCTTTATTTTCGTGATAGTTGGGTCGGCTAAGTTTGAGCACGGGTTGTGAAAAGGCCCGGGTCGAGGGACACGCGCCACGCGCGGATCTCTTCCTTGGGACAAATCTCCCTACAATATCAACACTTTTATGGTTTGCGGGTTTAGCCTTTAAAAAATATGCCTTTATGCTCTATTTAATTTAAAAAATATAAGGATTTTAATAGAGCAAACATTTTTATGAATGGATGAACTTTATTTGAAATTGCAGAATTATGGCACAGAGAGCTGCGGGTAAGATGGTAAAACAGAGTGGAGTGCCCCCCCCCCCTCCCAGCTGGCGTGTGAGGGAGAAATAGGACGCGAGCAAAATGCCCTCTCTTCATCCCTCCCTCTCCCCTTCATATCTCACCAATGACATTGATGACATCCAGAGTTAAGGAATATCTTAATTGTCAGCAAATCCTAGTGAGCTCCAATTATCTTTATTAAAAAAATACAATATAGAAAAAGGTAAATAATGAATATAAAAGCATATCCAATTTTTTTTCAATCGGTAATACACACAGCAACATCCAGCAGCTTCTGGTAGGTATAACTATTTAACCATTATTAAAAAAGCAAATAGACCAAAAATCCCCATTTAGAGAGCTCCCTTATCCACACAACGCTGCTCATTCAGAATTTTGATTGCGATCGGTAGCACATAGCAGATCCAGCAGCGGTGCAACCATTAAAAAAAGCGAATAGACCAAAAATCACCGAGAGAGCTCCCTTATCCACACATCGCTGCTCGTCATCAACCCACTATAGCTGGCCAAGCGGGCCGTGCTAACTGGGCCGGCCCGGTAGCACGCAGGAACGGCACGGCCCAGGCACGCCACGGCCCGAGCTAAACGGGCTAGGCCCGGCACGCGGCACGCCATGGGCCATGCCTGGGCCTGGAGGCTGGGCACGCGTACCGGCACGGCATGGCCCGTTTAATTTTTTTTTAGATTTTTTTTATATATATGACCTAAATTACAGCCCAATAGGCCTAAAATACAGCCCAACAGGCTAAAAATCAGATGGGCTGGCGTGCTAAACGTGCCACGGGCCGACCCGTTTAATAATCAGGCCGTGCCTGGGCCAGAGAGCCATGCCCGTGGGCCGGCATGGCATGGCCCGGCTATTAAACGTGCCACGGCGGGCCGTGCCGGGCCAGGCATGATTAGCACGGGCTGGGCTATGACGTGCCGGGCCGGCCCGTTTGGCCAGGTCTGCAACCCACCACCGCCAGCAGAGCTTCTCCGCTCCGCCCCCAGTTCCCTTCGTGCTCTCTCCAGCCACACACGCGCCCGTGCTCCAGGCACACACCCCACGGCGCCGCGTACTCCCCTCTTTATTCCCTCCTTCACTTCACATACAAGCCCCAGGGACCATGGCGCCAGATCGAGCGAGCAAGGATGTGCGCGGCAAGGATCCCCCCTCCCGCCCCTGATTCCCCCCTTGGCGACCTCACACCTCTCCGCGCCGACGATACACTACGCCTCCTGGAGTGCGCCGGGGCCGGCGAGGGGCGGGGTCGGGCGGGTGTGGGGAACGGGGGCCAAGCCGAGATCTAGCTGGTGGTGGTGTGTCCGTCGAGTGCACGCCGTGCGCTCCCGGCTCTGCTCTGCTCCGACGCCCGGCCTTGTGTCGTCGCCTTGCTTTGGTCCTTACACCCGCAACGACCGTTTGCTGCCACTGACTTGGACGCGCCACGCCGGTGGTGATGGCCTCGTGGCTCTTGGGACGCCAAGGCACGCATGGCCCTCTCCTCTAGCCTTCTCTCGAGCCTGCTAAGCCAGACTTGACCCTCTCGTCCAGCCTCCTCTCGCGCCCGAGTGGATCTCTTGAGCCAATCCCGTCCGCCTCCGGCCGCCGCCGGTAAGCAGAGTCGTCTTTCGTGCGCTCCGGCCAACTCAGACCGCCGCCTCCTCAACTTCCACGTCGGTCTTCGCCTCATGCACGAGCCCCCGTCGTCCGTGCGCTCTAGCCAGCTCCCCGTCACGCTCGAGACCGCCTCGAGTCTTCCTGCCGAGGCCTCCCCTGCGACCAGCCTTTAACATGGTCTCCTGCACGCCTCGGCGCGGACGCCCGCGGCAAGCGGCGGCGCGTGCCCGGCGGAGATACGCGATGGTGAGCCAGTCCAATAAGAGATAAGGGTCGCGGGCATAATTTCTAACAAACGCAGTGGCTTTTACGCAAAAACGAAACGTTTTTCCAGAGTGCCACTTAAACAGGGACTGCGGGTTGACTTCAAAGAAATAGAGGGTTGTTTTCAGAAAAAACCAACGACGTACCACCAGAAATAGTAACTGCTTTATTATTATTTTGGTGTAATTCAGTACAAGATCACATTTTCCTTTTCTACTAGGAATCAGTTGCAAACTTGCAATAGTACTCCCTCTGTAAAAGTTAGTGATGGAGGGAGTATATTTCTTTACGGAGGGAGTATATTTTAGTGATCTAAATGCTTTTATATATTTTTTATAGAAGGAGTATATTTTAAATGACTTGATTATATGATTCATAAATAGTTGAATTAATAATATTATTGTGGTGTTAACTAAAAATCTAAAACGAGAAATGCATATTTTATACTCCCTTCTATATATATATATTACTTGCCTTAGATTTTTTTAGATACAGACGTATGTTGGATTGGCTGAGGGTCGGGGGAGACACGGCGAGCCCGACGCGGCGGGGAGGGACCGAATCCGGTTTCCCAACACGGCCTGGGCGCACCGCAGCCTCGCCGGACTGACAAGGGAGAGCCGCCGAGGAGGGGGGCGATGGAGACGCGATGCAGATCGAGGACGGGGGCGGGGAGCACGAGAGGCCGGATCTGCCCCGCCGCCACCTTCTTGGGGCCTGGCACGACTTCGTCGGCCAGCCCTCCGGTGGCGGCGATGCGGGGGTGGGCGCTGGAGGTGGCCGCTTGTTGTAGCGGCTAGGGTCCCCCCCGTGCCATCAGAGGAGGGTGACGCAACCGGGGTGTGGGGGGGCGACGACGAAGCTTTCTCACATATGTTGGATTGAAGGGAGTATTATATTTGATTATTTTACGATTAAATATTTTTTGTATTTAAGTTGCATAATATAATGAAAAAAGTCCAATGCAAGTTGAGTGAACCTTCGATAAGGTGGCATGTGTGGCCTGGTGAGATGTTTGCATGAGATCAAATAATGGGAAAAAATGCATGCATGTTATGATGGACCTTTGATGAGGTGGCATATGTATATGTTAAAAGATCAACTATTTATGTACAAAAAGAATTAGGTATGCAATAGCAAAGTTCTACCTAATATACGTCGCGAGACTAGTGCACATTGACATTAGATGGGATATTAATTGATTGTTAATTACTCCCTTCGTCTTAAAATAAGTATCTTAACTTTGTACTAACTCTAGTATAAAATTGTACTAAGCTTGAAACACTTATTTTAGAACGGAGGGAGTATATGTCTAGCACTAACATTAATATTAGGAATAGTGATATTAAGAATCTGAACTAATATTACGACCAAGCACACTGCAAGCGTCGACTGTGTTTACTCGGTGTACTAACAACAATATGGTGAGCCTACGCGGATTTATATGACAATGAGACATCACCTTATACCCGATAGACATAGGGCATACATTTACTTGCTAGACAAATAAGAGCATTTTCAAAGGCAAGTGTCAAAAACCTTCCCCTTATATCTGCGCTTGTTTTGTCCTCCACTCCAACAACAATACCCATTTCTTCTTCCCAAATCCATTCGACATGCATGGGCATAGGACGTAGATCACACAACTTATATAACACATAGGTCAAATTGACATAGGACATAGAACATAGGACGAGTTGATACAACATACATAGTTTAATGACATAGGACATAGGGACATAGGAGTAGGACAACACATAACTAAATTTGACATAAGACACAATAGTAGGACAAGCTACATTTCACTTGCGTTTTCCGAAGTGCAAGTGAATGAAGGTTAGTTAGAGTCCTCATCTTCCTCCGAAACTCTAACTTTTCATATGGTGTTGAACCAGCTGGGACTGAATTTCCAGCCAAACAACACGTAAATTGCTTGATTTTCCCCCGAAACTCTAACTTTCCATAGCTTCTTGCATTGATCCTGGATTGCAACTGTGTTAGATGGAGTCGACCCGTCTTCCAGCCAAACTTCTCGCATCCTCTTCGTGTCAATAAGAAGGTAATATGCGGATTGGACAGTAAAGATCCCTATCTGCTCGTAATTCCACGGTCATCTATGTTTAGTATTACCAAACTCAAAGGGATTTTCAACACAACTGAAGTGTCAATTGGCTGCAGATGTGTTAGAATAAATCCAAGGCACTCCGTCGATAATCCAAGGACCAAGCAATCAAACGAGCACGACACCGAGATTTGTTAACGAGGTTCACCGATATGGCTACATCCCCGAGGCTTAACTACGGGCGTCCTCCCCGTGACACCGTCACAATACCGCACACCGGCCACCCAGGCGCCTGCACACGCCGCCGGCTCCCGCTTGCACGCCTGTGCTATTATGTTGGCATAGGTTACATCGTGTGTCTATCCTTGCTATATAAGAGAGGCTTAGGATACAAGTGTCCTACTTGGACACGACTCCATATCCTATCTAAACACAATACTACTCAGAGTCCAACTGTAACCTACCTTGTACACAATATTCGACACAACTCTAACAAGATGTTCACAAATGAGTTGTTTGTTCCACTTCAGCCTATTG